TCATATCCGGTTAATCTCCAAAGCCCAACCTTAGCTCCGTGTCTGGCCCTGAGGACCAGGGACTGACGTCTTGCCTAGTTTCCTGGAACAGCCCCACCTCAGATAGCCTCAAAGTTTGATATAGATTGGATGCTTCTTAATGAATAAAAAGCAAAAACGTCCCTTCAAGAAATGAGATGTAACTAAAATTCAAGCCAAAGTGGGAAGGAGATTTTTTTTTTTTTTTGCATAATCTATAGAAAGCTCAGGGGTGTGAGGCCCTCTTTGCATAGTGGAATGGGGAACTGTGTGCAGGGAGCTTTGCCGATGGCTGCTGGTTCTGCCCTGACATTTATGGGGATGAAACCTGGGCCCAGAAGACAGAATTGTTCGTTCACCATTGCAATCTCCCACAGGTCAGGCCCGGGTATAGAAAAAAGAAACCAACAAAAGTGGGTCCTTGCCCTGCAAGCAGCCACATAGTAGGTGTGGGACAGACTGTCTCAGGGTACCACAGTGAATGCAATAAAAGAGGGCCATGCTGGGGCACAGGCTGGCCGAGCCAGTGGTCAGGAGGCTTCTCGGAGATGTCTGGATAAGTCCTGATACATAGCTCAGCCTTGGTAGTAGGAGATGAAGACCCATTGAGCAAAGCAGATGCGGTCCCTTCCTGCCTTCCAGGAGTTTATACTCATGGTGATAAGGTAAATGTCAATCAAGTACTTCCATGTGCACGTCAAGTTTTTTGTTTTTGCTTTTGTTTTTGTTTTTTAAGGAGTAAGAGCTCTGAGGGTCATCCCTAAGGGTTTGCAAAGATGTGCTGGAGATCTTAAGAGTGGAATCAGAATTGACAACATGGAGAAAGGCAGTCTAGTCAGAGAGGACAAGTACGCACGTATCCTGAGCTGGGAAGGAGAGGTTGGTTGGTTGGTTGGTTTTTTTAGAACTGAACCTAGCTAGCATGGCTGGAGGAGAGAGGGGCAGAAGTGAGAGGCAGAAGTAGGGTGAGAGAGGGAAGGTGGGAAGAAAGAGGAGACAGGGAGGAGAAAAGGAAGGAAAGAAGGAAGGAAGAGAGGGAGGAAGGAAGGGAGGGAGAGAGAGAGGAAGGAGAGAGGGAAGGGAAAGGAGGAGGGAGGGAGGGAGGAAGGATGGAAGGAGAAAGGGAAAAGGGAGGAGCTGGATCCTAAGAGCAGAGAAACCATAGAAAGGTTTAAAGCAGATGGATGGTGTCTGATCTGAGCGGGAGAGATAGCTCTGATTGCTTTGAAGAGAATCTAGCCATGTTGGGGGCAGAGAGACCTCCCAGGAGGATGTTGTGGTCACCCAGGTGAGAATGGATATCATGAGCTGAACAGAGCCGGCAGGGTTGGGGAAAGCAGGCAGGTGGCAGAGGGAGGGCACTGGATTTGGACTATGGGGTGTGGGTGGTGAGGTTGGAGTCAGGATAATGTCCTGATGGGGTTTTCCAGGGGACCTGGGTAGATGGGTGGTGAGACCAATAACTCCAGTTCTGAAATGTTACATTGTGGGAAGTGAGGTATAATGTGTCTGTAGATATTGTCCTGCTTCTGACAATTACCACCCCACCTCTACCTCAGCCATTGCCAGATGAAGGTTAAAAAAAAAAAAGAGAGACGTGGTGGCTCACTCCTTTAATCCCAACACTTGGGAGGCATAGGCAGGCAGATCTCTGTGAGTTCAAGGCTAGCATGATATACAGAGTGAGTTCCAGGCCACCCAGGGTTACAAAGTGAGACCATATTTTAAAAAACAAAAAGCTGGCCAGTGGTGGTGGTGCATGCCTCTAGGGAAGCAGAGGCAGGTGGATCTCTGAGTTTGGACCCAACATGATCTACAGAGCTGTTTCCAGGACAGCCAGGGCTACACAAAGAAACCCTGTTTCAACACCTTCCCCCAAAAAGTGTGTATATATGTATGCATGTAGGTATGTAGTTTTGGAGATGTTTCAGGCAGGCCAGGTTGACCTCCAGATCACTGTAGATGACCGTGACCTCACGGCCCTCCTACCTCTAACTCCCCAGTGCTGGGATGATAGGCGTGGTACTCTGCCACCCTCCAGAGAACCTACTTTAAATTCAGAACGTGAGTTCCCATGAAAATCCAGCAGCCAAATGGTATGAAAATGAGTCCTGGGTCCCTTGTCTCATTTTTCCCTGCAGGCCTCATGCCTCCTCAAGTCACCACCAAAATCAAGCCTCCAGTGCTCACCAGTGCCTGGCAAGCCTTGTGACTCACGCACATTGACTCTGCCCAGCGCCCTCCTTCTCAGCCTTTCTCCTCCATAAGTACCATCCCTGTGGTCAGTGGGACCCGGGAGCGCCTCTACGTTTGAGCTCCCCACACCCTTAGTCTCCTATCATAGCAGTCTGTGTGCTTCTGCAGAGGACGTTACAATCTAGGCGTGGCTTCACTTATTTTTGTCATAAATATATATTTATATTTACATATTCTATATTTATACATATTATATGTACATAAAATATATCTGTTTGATAGTTTCTTTTCTGGCCTTACCTGGCTTCTTTCTTGCTCTTTAAATTAAATATATATATATATATATATATATATATATATATATATATTACTTTATGTGTATGGATGTTTTGCCTCCATGTATATCTGTGCGCCACACGTGTGCAGTGCCCCCCAGAGGCCAGAAGTGGGTATTGGATTCCCTAGGGTGTAGGACTGGAGTTCGTGTGAGCCACCACGTGGGAGCTGGGGATGAATCCATGTTCTCTGGATAGAGCGGCAAGTGCTCTTCATTGCTGAGCTGTATCTCCAGGCCACCTCCCTCCTCTCTTTGAGATGGGGTCTCACTATGTGGCTCTAGCTGGTCTGAACTATGTAGACCAGGGTGGCTTCAGACTCACAGAGATCCACCAGTCTGCTTCCTGAGAGGTGGGATTAAAGGCATGGGCCACCGCACCTGGCATCCCTTTCTCATTTAAAAAAAAAACAAACAAACAACTAGTTAGTTAGTGAGACACAACATACACACACTGAGTGTGCACACACAATGTACACTTACACACAGTATACACTCAGTTCATACGCACACAGTGTACCCACACAGTGTACCCATACCCACAGTGTCTACTCAGTTCATACACAGAGTGAACACACATGCGCGTGCACACACACACACACAGTGTATAAGCATGCCCAGTGCACACACATAGTATACACACACACACACACACACACACACACACACACACACACAGCGTACACACACACCACCACAAAAGCCATTTGTCTCTCTTAAGATTTATTTTTTGAGTGTCAATCTGCTTGTATATATGAGCACCATGTGCATTCCTGATCCCATAAGGGCCAGAAGAGGGGACAGAGTTGTGGAGTGTAAGCCACCCCATGTGGGAACTGACCTTGAGTCCTCTGGAAGAGCAGCAAGTGCTCTGAACCTTTTGCTATCTCTCCAGCCCTCCACAATTTATTCTGGAGGAAACTACTTAACCAACTCAACTACCATCGAAACCAAGACCAATCCTTCTAGAAGTCACAGCACACTCAATTTTGTTCTGGTCCCACCCTCTCATCTCCCTCCCTCATACCCTTCCTTCAGCCGTTAGTTGTTTTCATTTTGTTTTTTGTTTTTAATTCCCTTTGTGAATCCAAAACAAGACATTTGGAGAAGGAGCAAGCAAAGACTCTTTCAATCGCATAATTGGCTGATACGACAAAGTGTTTTCCTTGCTGGAAACATTTGCATTTTATTTTAATAAACACCTAATGCCATAGGAATGAAGTTCTAGGAATGACATTTCAGACTTCAGGTGAAGCATGGAAGAGACTGTTTATAGGAAAGGGTGTGTGTGTGTGTGTGTGTGTGTGTGTGTGTGTGTGTGTGTGTATACCTGTCCTTTGGCTCCTGTTCCATGTACCACCAGCCATCCCTCTAAGGTCCCATCATTCGGTCACTGGACACTTGACCGGAACACTTTAGCACAAGAACAATTTGTCAAAGAGACATTTTAACATATTAATGCATTATTTAAAAACCCATTAAGCTTCCAAGTTTTAATACTTCATTTTCAAATATACACCAGATAACCTTCATCTGCCCCTCACCGCATCACGCCCTCCACCATGCTCCCTCCTGCTCATCACCGATGACTCATGTCACAGCTGACAAGCTGCCTTGGCCCCGAGTCATAGGTCCCGCTTCAAGTCAAGTTGCTTCCTGTGCAGCCTGGCTTACCCCACTGTGGCAGCTACCAAGCTTCTCATAGGATTTCACCCCAGTGCTGAGGACCCCATGCTCTGCTCTCTATCAGCAACTGTGTCCCTTGAGTCTTGGGAGACAGCTCTGTTGACAGATGGACCATTTGGACCTTGAGGTCCATGAATGCTTTGGGAGTCTATGAATGCCTGGGATACTATTGCCAAAATTCCACAAGTTCACGTATGTTTTGTAAAGGGAAGAAGGGGGTCTGTAGTTTTCAAGAAACTTATAGAGCAGTCCAATGACCCCCAAATGTAAGAAATCGCTGGCTTAAATGGCTGATCTACATATTTCAAATATTAAAAAAAAAATATCATGGGCACATCACCGGGTGTTTGCTGTTGCTATCGACACCATGTTTATTTTGTCACTATGGCAACCAGTTTATGTAGTATTAGGGTTCTCTAGAGGAACAGAACTGAGAGAGAGAGAGAGGAGAGAGAGAGAGAGAGAGAGAGGAGAGAGAGAGAGAGAGCTTTATTAGAGTGGCTTACAGACTGTGGTCCAGCTAGTCCAACAATGGCTGTCTACTAATGGGAAGTCCAAGAATTGTTCATCCCCAAGATCACATATTAATAAAGACATCAAAATATAAAACATTTTACAAATTTAAGTCCCACAGCCTTACTAATTCAAACACTTTAAAAGTTGTCTCTTTAAAAATATCCAGTCTCTTTTAAAATACAAAGTCTCTGTAAAACTTCAAAATTTCTTTTCTTTTCTTTTCCTTTTTGGTTGTTCAATACAGGATTTCTCTGTGTAGCCTGGCTGTCCTTGAACTGGCTTTGTAGATCAGACTGGCCTTGAATTCACAGGGATCCATCTGCTTCTGCCTCCTGAACACTGAGATTAAAGGTGTGTGCTGCCATAACCAGCCAAAATTCTCCTTTTTATACACTCAAAGTCTCTCAACTGTAGGCTCCTGTAAAATAAAAAATAATTAAATGTTTTCTTACTTCAAGAGGGAAGAACCAGGGCACAGTCACAACCCGGCTGTGGCTCTGGCTGGCTCCACTCCACCATTGATACGGTTCTCCGTGGTCATCCCATGGTACTGGCATCTCCAAAATTCTGAGGTCTTCAGCAACTGGGCTGCACTTTTACCAAGAGCCTCTCCTGGGCTCTCCTCATGGTGCCAAGCCTCAGCTTATCCACATGACCCTTCATTCCTGGGCCTTCAACTGATGCTGAGGCTGCCCCTTCACCAATGACCTCTCCTGACCTCTCACAGTGCCAAGCCTCTATGACCCCTTCATGCCTTCAAAACCATACCACCTGGGTGACTCTCACATGGCCAAGTTTGGCTTTCAGCTCAAGGCACACCCTTGGCCACCTCTAGAACACAGCTTCTGTGTGCTGACACTCAGGAAACACTTCGCAGAAGATTTCACCTCAGGGATGCTGATCTCTTCCTTTTTTTTTTTTTTTTCTTCTGATCTCTTCCTAATTACCACTAGTTTCTCAGCTCCAGCCGACCAGCATCAGTTGCCCCCGTAAATCAAAGCTTTCACTTCCATGGTTCTGGTCTCTTGTTAATCACGGCTGACTCTTTAGGCCCAGTTGACCAGAACCACAGACTCCTAATTGAAAATAGCAAGTATGCAGCTAGGCGGTGGTGGCACACGCCCTTAGTCCCAGCACTCGGGAGGCAGAGGCAGGCAGAACTCTGTGAGTTCGAGGCCAGCCTGGTCTATAAAGCCAGTTCCAGGACAGCCAGGCCTATACAGAGAAATCCTGTGTCAATATGCAACAGCCCTGATAGTCTTTACATAATTCTCAAACTTCCCTCTGAACCTCACGCACCAGGACTCCATCTGTATTTCTTGCAGCACCCTTTTCTTCCAGGCTCCAGAAGAGCTCATCAAGTTTTGAACGTTCATTTGACTTTTTTTTTTTTTTTTTACTCAAAGTTCCAAAGTCCTTCCACAGTTCTCCCAAAAAGAGCATAGTCATGTCTGTCACAGTAATAATGCTCCATGATCCTGGTACCAATTTCTATCTTAATTAGGGTTACTATAGCTGTGATGAAGTATCATGACCAAAAGCAACTTGAGGTATCAAGTTGACATAAAACTAGCCAGAATGGTAGTACATAATCTGGTATGGACTTGGCCATATAAATCATGCACGTTGGAGGTAATTTTTGAGGACTAGACCAAGAAGCTATTGGGTTCATTTTGGCCAGAGCAAGGCTTACATTTACTGAGATGGCTTTCCTTCTAAGGAATGACCTGAATCCTCCTTCCATTGGCAACAAGATGCTGAGGCCCGTGTCTGAAAGGGAATCGAAGCTCTGGTTTCCATGGTTCGGGTGTCGTGGACCTGGGAAAAGAGAGAAGACCCAGAAAGGAGCTACGGAGTATGCAGGGAGTAGAAATGGGGAGGGGCTTCTGTTTATCTGCTCACCGCTCACACTCGTGTCTGTATTTCAGTTGAGACAGAAATCACTAGACAGCCACACATTTCAGCCTGAAGTGATTCCTCACTGCCGTAAAGGTCAAGGAAGCCAACCTGCTGAGCCAGCTCCCCCCGCTGCCCTGACTCTTGAGTCACTGTGTCTGAATGACTAGGCTGACAGGAACAGGTCTCACCAGGTGAATCCAACTGACAAAAAGTGGGGCGCAGGGCAGCCTGGAAGAGCAGAAACACTTGGGTCCAAGGCGCAGGGTTCAGGCCTCTGCCCTGTGAACTTGGACTAGAGAGCTGGCTGGTGCCTGAGGACTGGAGCCAAGCAGGACAGACACAGAAAGCAGAGGTCTTGCCATAGAGGGGATATGAGACTAACTTTGACCCTCATGCCAAATGTCTTCAGAGGTGATGTGTAGAGACCAGATAGAAACCCCCAAACTATAGAGAACTGCCCGTCATTCATTTATGCATCCCTTTAGATTGCACTCTGGGGTTCCCAGAGAGAGGTGGCAGCTTACATCTAGAGGCCACAACTGTACACCCCACTCCTGGCAGAGCAAGGAAGGTATGATTGCCTTAACCTTCTGTGATCAGCTCCTGTGGTCAGCTCAGGCCCGATAATAGGGACCAAAAATTGGTGTATGCAGTTCTCCTTCATGTCACTAGGTGGCAGCACCACCCAGGCCTGCTGTTCCCATGGCTCGCCCTGTAATTCTTGGGGCTGCAGGCCTGGCCCAGAGTGCCAGCTTTGGAGGCAGCACAGGCCAGTTTGAGTGCTGTGTCCACACTTAACCTTGGCAAACGAGCTAACCTCGGTAGAGGCTGTTTCTGATGAGGATTACAACAGTTCCTGAAAACGGCATGAACAGAAAATGAGGCCGAGGGCAATCTCTGCCATCCCATGGAACACAGTCCCTTCCCTTACCCATGGCATTGCCGTTATTTTCACCTTTTTTTTTTTCCTTCACACCTACTCCAATGCTTATTTCAAACAAGCACATGAGTAAGCATTTTGGGCTCGGGGAGACAGAAGGCAGGAGGGCCCAAATGAGATTTTTCTAGGGCAGACCAAACTCTCTCATCCCCCATCCTTTCTCTTGCTCTTGACTTTTCTCTTCTCTCCTGGGTGTTTACTTATGAATCATGTGAATACCCTACTCTGTGCACAGCCCTGGGCTGGGCAGGGCCCAGCAGGGAAGCCAAGGAGGAGGAAATAGTTGTAGGGATTGTAGAGAATGCCTCTTTCCCCAGGGCATTCAAGTCCCTTGGTGCTAAGCTGACACCCAGGCAGGATGAGTGAAATGCAGCAATAATAGTTGCTAGGACAACGAAACACTTCCACGCTAGCTGGTTAACAGCCTCTGTCTGGGTACCTCTCCCTGGGCGATACAGAAGCAAGCCTGCCCTTCCTGCCCTAGCGTGACCAGACAGAAGTTTGAACACAGCCTTTGGACAGATGGACTGGTGTGTCAGCCTGTTTCGCTGTGCTATGACAAAGTACCCGAGGGGGCAGGGGGCGGTGGGGGGGGGGCTACCTACAGAGTGAGGAGATGTGGAGCGAAGGGATGTGTTCAGCTCACAGTTGGGAGAATTCAAATCCGGGGGGCTCACATCCCTTCGGACCTCTGGTGAGCGGCCATGATGAGAGCAGGTGGTAAAGGGGGTGATCATGTTGTGGATTAGGAGGGCGAGGAAGGGAAGAGGAAGGGAGGGTGGGAGAGGGGGGCGGTTTGAATAAGAATGCCCCCCCCCCCTTAGGTTCAGATATTTGAGTACCTGGTCCTCAGTCGATGGTGCAGTCTGAGGAGGCTTAGAAGGTGCTGGAGGAAGTACGTCACTTGGGGGCGGGCTTTGAGTTTTCAAAGCCTCGAGTCAGTCTCGGTTAGCGCTCTCTGCTTCCTGTTTGCTGTTTAAGATGTGAGCTCTCAGCTCGCTGCCCCAGCCACCATGCCTGCCTGGCATCTAGCTTCTCTGCTGTGACAGTGGTAGACTGTCATCACCCTGGAACCGTAAGTCCAAATAAACCCTTCCCTCTACAGGCTGCCTTGGTCATTACATTTTTATTTATTTATTTATTTATTTATTTATTTATTTATTTATTTATTTATTTATTTATTTATTCATTAATTCATTCATTCATTCATTTATTTATTTATTATTATTTATTTATTTATTTTTGGTTTTTCAAGACAGGGTTTCTCTGTGTAGCTTTGCGCCTTTCCTAGAACTCTCTTTGTAGACCAGGCTGGCGTCGAACTCACAGAGATCCGCCTGCCTCTGCCTCCCAAGTGCTGGGATTAAAGGCGTGCACCACCACTGCCCGGCCGGTCATTACGTTTTATAATAGCAATAGAAAAGTAACTAAAAAAAGTAACTAATAGAGAGGAGGGGATTTGGATTGCTGGACTTCAGGACTTGGATAGGTAGACCCTGGCAGGAGGAAGTGGCCAAATAAGGGAAGAGACCTTGGGAACTAGCTTTAGAAATGTAATCTATTGGTTTTTTTTTTTTAGCAAGCCAGAGGGAATTGGGGAGAAGGACAAGGCCTGCTAGAGCCACATGCTCAATTGTCCCCTCAGAAAAGAAGGCGGGAACCCAGACAGCTACACTGGGATTCTCTGGTCGGGCTCCTCAGCTCTGTCGATGGAAGGGTTACCATCATCTCTGACATCTTTCTGTCAAGAGTCAGATTCCCAGGAGAAGTTCTGATTGGCTCAGTCTGTGTCACATGACTGCACCTTGACCAGAGCAGTCAAGGCCTCTTGATTGACAGCCCTATGCCTAGAAAGAGGAAATTGTTTTGAAGTTTACTAGCATACTAGTTATACATAATGGTTTTTTTTGTTTTTTTTTTTTTTTTTTTTTTTTTTTTTTTTTTTTTTTTTTTTTTTTGGTTTTTCAAGACAGGGTTTCTCTGTGTAGCTTTGCGCCTTTTCCTGGAACTCACTTGGTAGCCCAGGCTGGCCTTGAACTCACAGAGATCTGCCTGGCTCTGCCTCCCGAGTGCTGGGATTAAAGGCGTGCGCCACCACCGCCTGGCTCATAATGGGTTTTATTATGACATTTTCATATTCGTACGTAATGTATTTTGATCATAATTACCCACCGGGACCATCTTTTGTCTCTCTCCCCTCACTGATCGCTTTCCTCTTCCTGACTAGTGTCTACCTACAGACAGGTCTTTGGTGACCTAATGAGTTTTCAGGAGATGGGTGGAGGGCTGTTTACAGCAACATGGGCACTTTACCTGTGGCTACACCGTTTAAGAAAACGTGTCCCTCCCCCAAACCATTAACTACCTCTGATCCACAGGGAGGATGGGGCTCTATGACAGGATGTCTTATGTAGGCAATCACAGCTGCTATGAGTTTGAGAGTGCAACCCACGATGCCCAGAAGATAGAGTCCCCCAGCCTTCCACACCTTCCTCTGGCTCCTCCATTCTTTCCACTTCCTCTTCTACATGGTTCTCTGAGCCTTGGAGAAGAGGGTATAGCTATTCCATTTATTATTGAGCAGTCAACATTTATTTTCATCACTTTGCCCAGGTATGGGGCTCTGTTGTTCCCACTGCCCACACTATACAAACTATCTTCTCAGGCCAAAGCTGAAAGCAGTGCTCTTCTATATACATAAACGTCACTTAACCGGCAATGTGATGGATACATTGTTGCCATTTACAACAGCAGCTGCTTCCCCACTCTGGCCGTATGCTACCCCCCCCCCCCCCCCCCCCCCCGCCATGGGCTTTTGAACTGGTTCACAGGGACTAGTTCTCTCCGGTGGATCTGGCCTCAAATTCAATCAGAAAATGCTTGGTTGTGTCTGTCACAGACTTGCCACTATTGTGCTCGTGGGCACCTCTGTCCTGGAAGGTTGGTGATGTCGCATGCAGGGTTCAGCTGAGTGATACTCCGGATGACAATCCTTTCTTAGCAGCCTGGATAGCACCTTTGAGGGCTCTGGGATCTCACCGGCAGTGAGGAAACGTCTGGCTCAGAGCTAATTGATTTCTCTGTGTCCTGTGACCAGAACACTTGGTCTTCAGCATTAAGGTCTCCACATTCTGGTGGGCACCCCAAAATCAGTTCAATTAAAAAAGTCATTTTAAAAAGATTTCTATTATTATTATTATTATTTTAAATTATGGGAACACATGTGTATCTGTGTATGGGTATGTGCCTGTGAATGTAGGTGCCCGAGGAGTCCAGAAGAGGGCATCAGATCCTCTATCACTGGCATGACAGGAGTTGCGAGCTGCCTGATGTGGATGTTGGGATTCAAACTCTGTAAGAGCAGTACGCACTCTTAACCACTGAGCCATCTCACCAGCCCCCAAACAGGCAATTCTTGAAAGGGAAATTAGGGTGCTAATAAGGAGGATGGACACTTAAGTGACAAAAAAAGTCACTTTAATCACCTGCATTCCAGCATTGGGTCACACTTCAGTGACACCCTGTCTGCTGGGATTAAAGGCATGCAACACTATGCCTGCCCCCACCTTTCCCATTTTTAAAAATATTTATTTTATTTTATGTGCATGAGTGTTTTGCCTGCACATACACGCATGTGTGCACCTGATACTCATGGAGTCAGAAGAGGGCTGGAGTGACAGAGGGCTGTGGGCTGTCATATGGGTGCTGGGAACTGAAACTGGGTCCTCTGCAAGAACAACAGAGCATTTAACTGGTAAGCCCATGGGTAGAATTTTAAAATTATTATTATTATTATTATCATCATTATTATTATTATCATTATCATTATTTGGGTTGCATGTAGCTCAGGCTGGCCTCCCACTCATACTGTGTAGCCAATGGTGACTTTGAACTTCTGATCCTCCTGTCTTTATGTCCCCAGTTCTGGGGTTAGTGGGATTACAGATATGCACCACCATGGCCAATTGGTTTGATGCCAGGGATGTCTGAAGGAGAAACCTGGATCGCCTTGGGAAGCCCAAGATGTTAGAGATGCCAGAGTCATGGGATGCCTGCCAAGGAGAGCTGCTAAGAGGGAGTGGAACCAGCCCAAGAGAAGGAAGTGTGTTGCAGTCAACAAAGCTGAAAGGAGCTGGAGATCTGAAGAGTGTTTTGACAGCAGACATGGAGATGCAGACTCTGGGGTTTGCCCAGCAGGTTTTCTGTCTTGCTTTGGTCCAGTATTTCCTACCTATGCTCCCTTCCTACATTTTGGAATGGTAATGTGTATCCTGTGCCATTATATGTTGGAAGTATGTCATCTATTTTTTATTTTGATTTTATAGAGGATTATAGTTAAGAGATCATGTGAATCTCAGAAGAGACTTTGAACTTTGGACTTTTAAAACATTGTTGAGACTGTGATAGACTCTGGGGACTTTTGAAGTTGAACTAAATGTATTTTTGCATGATTATATTGTTACAATCTTATGGGGGGCCCAGGGAGTGGATTGTGGTAATTTGAAAGTAGTTGGCCCCCTTAAGCTCATAGGGAGTGGCACTATTAGGAGATGTGACCTGTTGGAGCAGATGGGGTCTTGTTGGAGGAAGGGTGTCACTGTGGGGGGGACTTTGAGGTCTCCTATGCCCAAGCTACTCCCAGTATCACAGACCACTTCCTGTTGCCTACACAAGATGTAGGACTCTCAGCTCCTTCTCCAGCACCATGCCTGCCTTGGTGCCAACTGTCCCACCACGGTGATAATGGACTGAACTTCTGAACTGTTAGCAAGCCATCCCAGTTAAATGTCGTGGTCATGGTGTCTCTTCACAGCAATAGAAAGCCTAACTAAGACACAGGGGGATATGTATATCATAATAAATTGAAAACTGTAATAATCATTCAAACAAATACATACCAGCCAGAATAGAATAAGTTCAATCCAAGTGTCACAAAAACTCATGCTGTCTTACAGTTGGGTTTTCAAAAATTAGTAGAATTTAAAAAAATAAACAAAGGCTGGAGAGATGGCCCTGGGCCAACCCTAACAACCTGAGTACAAGCCCCTAGACCCACACAATGGAAGAAGAAAACTGAGTCATGTACGTTGTCCTCTTATCTCTACATGGATGCTGTGGCATGTACCTTCCTCAATAAATGAATTAAAAATGTGATAAATTTATAAAGCTCTCATGGATGTGGCCTAATAAAGTCATGCTTTTCAGGCTGCTTAGACTGGCATTACCTAGCTCATGCACCCCGGAAGGATCACTGGGCAAGCACATGAGGGACTGTGGTAGACAAGGAGTGAAGGGTGCGTGAACAAATGAGTGTGCAAGATCCAGCCAGGGATGAGTGTGTCAGGGCCCAGCTGGTGCATGGGGTTTGTTTCCAAGAGCAAAAGGACGAAGCAGAAGTTCTCAACCTGTGGGTCATGACCCCTCTGGGGGGTCGAACAGCCTTTTCACAAGGGTCGCCTGAGACCATCAGAAAACACAGATATTTGCATTACAATTCATAACAATAGTAGAACTATAGTTACGAAATAGCAATGGAAATAATTTTACAGCTGGGGGCACCACAACATGAGGTATCGAAGGGTTGCAGCGTTAGGAAGGTTGAGAGCCACTGGGTTAGGGTGTCAGGGTAGCCTGGTGGAGCAGTGGTCTAGGGTGCAGGAAGCCTCCAGCATTGGGTGCAGGCTTCTCGTGCTCTGCGACACTGGCACAGGTGGGCTGCTGCTTTGTTGGACCTCTGGCCTGTACACGTGTTCCCTGTGCATGAGCGTGCAGGCACACACACACACACACACACACACACACACACACACACACACACGAGAGAGAGAGAGAGAGAGAGAGAGAGAGAGAGAGAGAGAGAGAGAGAGAGAGGAGAGAGAGAGACTGTGTTGGCTAGTTTTCGGTAAACGTGACACAAAGAGTCACCAGAGAGGAGCAGACCTCTGTAGCTGGAAGTTTTCCTGTGTCCTGTCTGGTCCTGCAGCCGCTCAGACCCAAGTAAACGCACAGAGGCTTATATAAATTACGAACTGCATGGCCATGGCCTATGGCTCAATTTTCTTGCTAGCTAGCTCTTATAACTAAACTCAGCTCATTTCTATTAATCTATATGTCGCCACATGTTATGTGGCTTTACCTGTATGCCATTACATGCTGCTCCCTGGACAGCAGGAATGGCATCTACTCCACCTCTGCTTTTCTTCTCCCTGTCTTTCTCCTAGATTTCCCACCTGCCTCTAAGCTGCCTTGCCATAGGCCAAACAGCTTTATTTATCAACCAATCAGAGCAACACATATTTACAGCATAGAGAAAGACATTCCACAGCAGACCTCTATTGAGAAAATGCCTCCATAAGATCAGACTCTAGGCAAGCCTGTTGGGCATTTTTTAAAATTAGTGATTTATGGGATAGGGCCAAGCCCATTGTGAGTGGTACCATCCCTGGGCTGGTATTTCTGGGTTCTATAAGAAAGCAGGCTGAGCAATCCATAAGGAGCAAGCCAGTAAGCAGCACCCTCCATGACCTCTGCATCAGCTCCTGTCTCCAGGTTCCTGCCCTGCTTAAGTTCCTGTCCTGACTTCCCCTAGTGAGGAACAGTGATGTGCAAGTATAAGCCAAATAAACCCTTCCCTCCCCACGTTGCTTTTAGTCATAGTGTTTCATCGCAGCAATATTAACCCCACTACACATCTCTGTTCCCTTTCTACCCCTATCTTGTACTCTTTATGTGGTACTCACCCAAGGCCCAGGGCAGACACTGGTCATTTTCACAGCAAGAACTCCATTAAACATCTCTGTAATCAGTGCTGTTGACTTGAAATGTCATTCACCATCAGGACCTCACACCCTTGAGTCAAGCACTATCCCTGTTAGGTCTTAAGGTGTTAATCCACTCTAGTCTTATAATCCCAACACTCGGGAGGCCGAGGCAGGAGCATTTCAAGTTTGAGGCCAGTCTGGATACATAGAATAGAAATTCTCAGTGTCTAAAAATAGATAAATAAACAGAACAAAGCAGAACAGAAACGTATTTGGTACATTAATGTTGGTCTTGGTCCCCTAGTCCCTTTCTTCTAGGACTCCCTTGAGCAACTTTGGGGTGCTGAAATCAGTAGGAGAGAAGGGAACCAGAGGATAGAGACAGCCTACCTGTCCTCCAAATAAGTGGGACACCCAGATGCCTCACCTCCTGTATCACAAAACCACAGTGACAGCTGTGACACCGGCTGGAAGTATTAATTAATATACGTTGCTGGTAAGCTGTGGTCCAGCAGACGGTAACCCCGTGACCTTTGCGTTCCTTCGGCTCCTCTTCTCTCCCCACCCACACCCCTCAACCCGAGGACTGAAGTTCTGGCTTTCTCGTAATTGATTCTCGTCGGTCCTGCTAGTAAGAGGTACACAGTGGGTAGCGGGTGGGGAAGCAGGCATTCTGGAGGGGGGTCAAGGCAACAGGCAGCACTCATGCCGCTGCCTGCCTCCTGGCAGCCTGGACTTTCCCAGGAGATGCTGTTGACCCAGATCAGGAAGAAAAGGTCAGACCTCAGAAGTCCCACTCTAGAATCATCCAGGAGGGCTCCCTGCTCCGGACTCCCCCCCACCTTACAGGGGCCAACGCTCATCTGTCTCCTATATATTCCTTCTGGTGGGGCACGAGGTACTTAGGATGAAGGAGACACGCTTCCTCAGAGCCCCCAAAGCCCTGTGTGAACGGGACATCAGGATTCAGTGAGTCAATGCTCTCCCTCTGGCTGCAGCTCTTCCCAGGATTATTCTTCCTCAGGCTAGAGTGTAGACAGACTCTGAAGCTGTGGCTGGGAGCCAGGGAGGGAGGAAGTGTTCATTGATCCCACCGGTGGAGAATAAGACCACTCTTTCAGTTTAAAGTCAAATTTAAAGCAAACTTTAATTAAATATTGGCCAGGTGGATGGACTCTGGCCAGGTCCATCTCTGGGTTTCCAGAAAATGGCCCCAAGTCATGTTTTGTTGGGACTGAAGAAGGCCAAACCCGCGATTCACATTTCCCATCAGATTCAGTCAGGGGCAGGCATACATCCTGAAGTATTTCCTGCCTACATACTTCCCGCCCACGTGGGATCAAGCACATCTGGTACAGATGGGTCAAACAAGTTTGTCTAGGGGAGTGAAGACACATGGCTTGTTCTCTCCCATAAACAATAGCCTTCAGCATTTCAGGAACTGTCTGTCCTTAGGCAGATAGTGTGGGTGGGGAGAGAAGAGGAGCCGAGGGAACGCAAAGGTCACGGGGTTACCGTCTGCTGGACCACAGCTTACCAGCAATGTATATTATTAATACTTCCAGCCGGTGTCACAGCTGTCACTGTGGTTTTGTGATACAGGAGGTGAGGCATCTGGGTGTCCCACTTATCTGGAGGACAGGTAGGCTGTCTCTATCCCTCTGGTTCCCTTCTCTCTTACTGATTTCAGCACCCCAAAGTTGCTCAAGGGAGTCCCAGAAGAAAGGGGCTAGGGGTTCAAGACCAACATTAATGTACCAAATGGGTTCCTTACAGATCAGAGGCATTTTTGTTTCATAGATTTCTGAGGCATAGTAATCAAAACTTAAATATAACTTTGGCTCTTGCAGATCAGCTGCAGCTGGAGGGCAGGCTGTCTCCTCCACTACCTGTATTGATATAAAATTCCAAAATGTCTAAAAAGCCTAAATTTGACGCTGGCATTTTGGGGGTGGGCATGATGGGAAGTTGTCTTTGCCAGGGAAGAAGAGAAGAGTATAAAAACATTTAGACTTATAAATTATATTGTGATCTTTGTACTTTGTCCCAAGCCATGCAGATGTTGACGGCAAATGTGACCCCTCATTATAGTTTGTGGGTCCACAGATTCTTTTAAAAATTGGGGCAGAGCATGGTAGAACACACTTGTAATTCCAGCACCAAAAGGCTGGGGCAGAAGAATTGCTTCAAGTTTAAGGCCAGCCCGGACTATTTAGTGCCAGACCAACAAAAGCTACGTAGCCAGATCCTGCCTCAAATAAACAGACCAACTCACAATCCTAAAAATTGTCTGCTGTGGGATGCTCTTTCTGTATGCAGTGAATATGTGTTGCTACTGTTGGTTAGTAAAGAAGATGTTTTGACCTATGGCAACACAGGATATAGCCAGGTGGGAAATCCAAGAGAGATGCAGAGAGAAGAAGGCGGGGTTGGAAGACGCTGCAAGCCGCTGGGGAGCAAGATATGAGAGAACACAGGTAAAGCCATGAGACACATGGTGATGCATAGATTGATAAAAACAGGTTAAAGATGCAAGAGCTAGCTAGCAATAAGCCTGCGCCATAGACCAAACAGTTTGTAATTATGATTAAGTCTCTGAATGATTATTTTATAAAAATGGCTGCTGTCTGGGCAGGACTAGTCAGGACCCAGAAGCTTCAATCTACAATTGGGTTTGGATGCTGAGGTGTGATTCAGTGATAGAGAATTTGCCAGCCATGTGGGAGGCCCTGGATTCCATCCTCAGTACTGGAAGGGGAGAAAAACACACACTTAGGAAGAAAAAATGATGCCGGGCGGTGGTGGCGTGCACCTTTAATCCCAGCACTTGGGAGGCAGAGCCAGGCGGATCTCTGTGAGTTCGAGGCCAGCCTGGGCTACCAAGTGAGTTGCAGGAAAGGTGCAAAGCTACACAGAGAAACCCTGTCTAGAAAAAAAAAAAAGAAGAAGAAGAAGAAGAAAGAAAAAAAGGAACTCCGTAGGAGTTCTAATTTTACCTTTTCTTACAAATAAGGAGATGCAGTAATCACTGTGCCTGAATCCCTGCTGGACAGAACTACAGAGACATGACATACTCTTTTGGTTTGTCACACTCTCCAACTCACTGCATTTACAGAATCTCTGTGGGCCTAAGAACAGTCGAGTGTGAATCAGCTGGTCCAGCCCGGGGTGGGGGTGGGGTGCCATTCCTGTCATGAGCAGCTAGCTGGGATAAGACGTCCACCGTTGTCGTCGCTGAAGTTTTGGAAGTTCAAGTCTGTACTCAGTAGCTGCCCATCCCGAGACCCCGTCCCCAGCCTCAGCCTTGTGCTCTTTTAGCAGGCTTCTGAGAAAGGAGAAGTGGAACCCCCCCAGGGGCATTAGAAAGTGGAATGAAAGGGGAACAGAAGTCCTCGCTGAGAGATGGGAGGGGCACACGTGAGCTCACATTTCTAGTTCTGGCCCCGAGTCTCAGAAGATACCCAGGCCAGTCATGTGCCTTGTGCGGGGTTTCTGGGGGGAAATCACCATGCTGCGGCAGGGCTTGGGAGAGACACCTCTGACTGGAAAGAAGCCTGCCTATGAAAGACCAAATTATGGTCAGCTGCAAAGAAAACTGGACCCCAAGTTCTGGGTCTTAAGATTGTGACAGAGAGGTGGTCCGTGAGACACCTGGAGTGAGCCATTTCTTTGGCCTGCTCTCAGAGGCGTGGGAAAGAGGACCAGAGCATGAACTCCCAAGTCCCAGGGCCTGTAGGGAGCTAGAGAGAGGGCGGCTCTTCATCACATGTCCCAGGCCACATGGAGCCTCTGCTCTGGAAGAGAAGCCCCAATTTGCCGTTTTGTTGGGGAGACCAAAGATTAGGATTCCAGATACGGCACTGGAGGAAAAAAATGAGGGTTCAATGGAGGTAGCTCTGGGCAGTCTCCCCAAACTCTGAGTCAGGGGCTCAGCCTAACTCTACTCTGGGGCATGCAGGGGCAATGGCTTCCAAGAGTAGATCCTCCCTGCTGCCCCTATCCCAGTGACGGCTGTGAGAGCCTCTCACAGACCAGTCCCAAGGAAGCCACAGTCAGGGGGCAGGTTTGTCAGGCTTAGGAAGTTTAAGGCTTACATCTGCTTAACACTGCCCTCATCCCGGAAGGTAGGAGACACCTGGGCAGAAGCCATCAAAAGAGGCCTCAAAGGAGCCGGAGCCACTAGCCAATGGGTTAGGATTTGCTGACAGGTAAGTGGCTGGCTCCTCCCTCCCCTTCACCACAGCATGGCTGTCCTGAGGCGGGTAACAAGAAATGACTGACTATTCTGAGAGACTACAGGTTGGGCCTGTAACAGAAGCCTGGTCCTGTGCTGTCTGCCTCATTGGTACCCAGCCACTCAGTAGAGACTGTGGAGGTGGACAGGTCCCACAGCAGCCTTAGAGGAGACATCTGTTCTTGCTCCTGGGCAGTGCTGTGGGTAAGGCTATATCAGCAGACATGTGGCCTGGGGACTTCTGAGAAACAGGTGGGTATCAGAGGGGAAAAGGAAGCACACTGACTCCAACCAGATGTCCAGACTGAACACTACCCTGAACTACTCAACCTGGGGACACTCAAGATGCACAGGTGGCAGCCACCCGATTTCCTAAGGGCATCTTCGGCAGGGTGTGGCAAAAGGCTACCTTGCTGCCTTGAATGTGAGGAGCTGACTTTGTGTTACTCAAGATTCCCAGCAAGGACCCTGGCCCATGACATCCTAGAGACTTGACCAGGAGCAGCCGTCTGGGAAGGTGTCCGGATGGGAGAAGCTGAGATCCCCCCCCCCCCCCCGACGACTCCCGTCTCTCCAGACTGGCATCTTGTGCTAAATGCTTTCTCTAACTGCAGAGTGAGCTGCTCTGCCACCCAGAGAAAGCGTGGGGTAAGAGGCAGGCAGGGCTGGGCAGGTCACATGGAGCAGATCTGGGGAGGAGGGCGAGGGAGATAGATTTCTAGAAGTTGAAGATGGTTTGAAAAGAGGCCGGCTTCCCAAACAGGTGAACCAAACACGGAAAAGAGACAGACGTAGAATCCCTTGAGTCTGGAGGCGCTCCCTGAAGCCAGAGAGAAAAACCAGGTCTCAAACCAAAAGAAAGTGGTTTGTGGGATGCTCATGGGGAAACAAGGAAAGCCGATTTCCAGGGCTGGTTTCTTAGAAAACATTTATTTAGAAAACTATCGACTCCCTGCCCTCCTTCCTCTGTGCTGTAGGTCTTGGGCATCATCCATGACTCTTGGGGCTGCTTTCCCACTCATGTGGGGTCCAGTACATTGGCTACACTCTGGTAGGAGGCTTCAAGTCCCTCTGGCCAGCACAGTTCTTGTGTTCAATCCTTGTCCAGGCCTCTGCCACTGGGTCTCCAGATGGAGGTATGAGGGTAGCCTGGCCTCGGTTGACATGCCCCTCCGAAGGCCCATGGGAGGAGCATCAACTGGGGCTCTGTCCTCTTCCTGTCTGGAAGCTCAGGGCTGGAAGCGTGGTGAGCTGATGTGAGGCTGGTGGAAGGGATGGGCGCTGTATACCACTTCGGGAGGCGAGGGGGCGCCGCTGGCCAGCACGGAGCACAGGGGCTCGTGGCTGCTCAGCACCGATGTGAAGTACTTCAGCTCCTCTGTGAGTTGTTTGATCTCCTTCCGCAGAGCCGCATTCTGTTTCTCCAGGTCTTCACTCTCCTGGAAAGGGACAATCAGCAGGATGGTGAGTATGGGGGAAGGGTGGGAAGGTGGGAAGGTGGGTGGGGCAGGAAGGCAATGCCGGGGGTGGGGGGGGGGGGAGTGGGGGCCTCAGAGTCGTTTTCTATCAGCACAGACATGAAGAAGGGCGACTGAGAATTCATGTGCACATGAGGATGTGCATATGTGCACACATATGTTTGTATGGGTGCACCTATATATGCGTGTGTGTGTGTGTGTGTGTGTGTGTGTGTGTGTGTGTAAATATCAGGTTGACCCATATGACCCATATGCAAACTGCTGATAGCTGTCTGTCTTGACTAATAAAAATGACAATTTCATAGTCCCATCTGTCTCTTCCCTACGACTATAACAAAACACTGGAGGCTGGGTGGTTTATTTAGCTCAGAGTTCTAGCAGTTCAAGGATATGGTAACGGAGAGCCACAAATGGTGGAAAAGTGGATGGGCAAGCAGGGAGTGTAGAAAAGAAGCTCGTGCTGGGCGGTGGTGGTGCACGCCTTTAATCCCAGCACTCAGGAGGCAGAGGCAGGCGGATCTCTGTGAGTTCGAGGCCAGCCTGGTCTACAGAGCGAGTTCCAGGACAGGCTCCAAAGCTACACAGAGAAACCCTGTCTTGAAAAAAAACAAAGAAAGAAAGAAAAAAATTTAAAAAAAAAGAAGCTCATGTGTAATAGAAAAGAGAGGTTTATAATAATCTCTTGTGAGTCTCTTTATAACAATCCCCTGTGATACCCAATGCCATCCCTCAGAAGTGAGATGAGCTGGGCACGGTGGCACAGACCTGTCATCCCAGCAGCCAGCGTGTGGACAGAGGAGGATTGGGAGGCCAGCCTGGGCTAGAGAGGAAATAAACTGAGAGCCTGTCACTGCGTCTCTAGACAAATGTGCCCAAAGGGCTGGGAAACACACCTAGTGTGGTAAGACAACGAAGCCTTAAGCTCAATTGCCAGTACACCAAAAGGGAAGAAGGGGGGGGGGGGAGATGGAGATAAGAAAAAAAGAGAGAGTGTGAGGAGAGGAAGAAAACAATAGAAAAGAAATGGAGAACGGCATTAATACCTCTTAGGGACATACTTGTCCCTTGCTGGCACTACACCACCCAACACTGTTGCTTCACCAGGGACCAAACATACACAAGTCTGGTGCAGAAAAGCCATGGAAAACCTCACCCAGGTAGAGTGTGTGCATGTGTGTGTGTGCGTGCGTGTGTGTGTGTGTGTGTGTGTGTGTGTGTGTGTGTGTACACACGCATGCGCACGCACAAGCTCACACTTGTGCTCTTATGGGTACGTGTGCAAACATGCCTGCATGTGTGCCCCCGGCCTGAGAGTGGCAAGCATATACCAAGAGGAACTGGCGATCGGGCCAGACCCTAAGAGAGTGGAAAGCAGTGTACAGAACACTCTCTGCCGGTTTACTCCACCCCCAGCACGCACACCAAGTGCCGTGTGTTTGCACTTGTCTCACAAGCGCCGCTGCTTCCCCCTCCAGGGTGTTTAGAGTGAGCCTTTCTGAATACTGAGGCTCCACGAGTGTCGAGTTGCGCAATCCTGTTCCAAACCATCCCCAGACCCTGGACAGTGCCCACTCACACTCAGTGCTTCTCGAAGTGTAAACCTAGGAGGAAGTTCATAAACATAGGAAGCGATTATCAACAAACAATCACGGAACGGAACATTTATGACTACTACATACTATAATCGGAGTCACTTAAGACTTGTTTATTTCTGGAACTTTCCATTGAGAATCCTCAGATCACAATTGACAGTGGATTCGCTAAAACCATAGGAGGGGGGAAGCTCAGGTAAGTCCTGTGCTCTCCGCCTCAGTATAGAAGCAACGAGCATTTCGTCCGGAAACATCTTTCCGCGTTGGTAGGGGACTGCATCCTTTACCAGCCGCCATGGCGCTCCGGTACATAGCAATTGCGGAGAAGCAACAGCTTCTCCAGACCATGGGATTCCCAGACCTAAGAGAACAGACCCCTGCTAAGTGCTGGAGCCTCCCCAGCTCACCAGATAGGCAACCTGGCTGGAGGGGCAAAGGAATCTCAGCTCGGCTCAGAAGTCACCTGCGCCAGCAGGCAGCTCTTATTTTTGCAGAGTTGAGATTTGAGGAGAAATTTCTCTTTTCCGAGTGTGCGTTGTGTACACACATGTATAGTTGCAGGTGCATACATGCTAGGTGTGTGTGTGTGTGTGTGTGTGTGTGTGTGTGTGTGTGTGTAGGGTCAGAAGGTGACTCCCCACCCCCACCTCACACCTTCCACAGTTTGAGAGAGGGTCTCTCACTGGCCTGGAACTTCCAGCTGGCCCACAAGCTTCCAGGGATCTGCCTCCAGTCTCACCATTGCAGAGATTCCAGGCGTGCACCCCCTCACCCCACTTTTTATGCGGATGTAGAGAACCGAACTCAGGTCCTCACATCAGTGCTTTACCAACTAAACCATTGCCCTAGCTCTGGACATCTGAGCCTTTAGCAGGTGTCCTGGGTCATTCTACTGACCAGGCAAGTTTGAAAATTATGGTGAATAAAATACTGGGTCAACACGGCGCAAGCAATTATAAAATCTTCTTTAATGATCTAAACACGTATTAAATGGCTGCTTAAGTGCCAGATGAACTTAAATGTTTGTTGACTGGCTGGCTGATAGCATCAGTTGTTGGCATGAGAACGCTGACTCAAAAGTACAGCGCTTAACAGAGGTAAGATAACTTGACATTTACAATTTGCCCTAAATAATCCGTCAGGAGCGGGCTGCAGGCTGACGAGAGATGGGATTTATCACTTACACTGCCAATCATCGAAACCCAGTGCAGCCGTGGGTTTTTTTTTTTTTTTTTTTTTTTTTTTTTTTTTTTTTTTTTTTTAAAGTGGTGGAGGGGAGCATAGGACCCTGACCTCGCTCGCTCATCAAGCCGGCTTCCAGTTCTTTTGAAGGTCAGATGTGAGCGTGCTCAGCCTCAGCCTGACATTCTGAATGCTTTCTGAGCTAACCGAGGCCCCTAGCCGGGTGCAAAGGAAACCCCCATTTCCAGAGTGGGGTAAGGGAAGCCAGAAGAAGCTGGATGGTGGTTAGTCCCTGGATGCTGCTCCAGCAGGCTGTGGCCAGATGGACATTTCAACGCTTTTTTTGTTGTTTTTTCCTGACACATCCCAGAGGGAGGTCCGCAAGCCCTTTACCAGGAAGGCATTGCCCCTTTACTGAAAGGTGGGCGAAATGAATCTGGGGGGGCGGGGGGGGCGGGGGGGCGGGGCAGTACGCTAAGACGGGAACTGGGGCCCCGGAGTCCTGGTCCTTTCCTCGCCCCCTATGAGAGTTTCCACTGGTGACAGCATTTACTGTAAGTTCAGTGCTCTGAAGAGCCTGGGCAAACCCCAAGGCAGCAAGTAGGGACGGACAGGGTGGGCGGGCTCTGCGCTTCTCCCCGCCTAGGGGCAGGCCCAGCTTTCGGGAAGTGACTAGCAAGCTCGGAGGAGCGAGCTCCAGCTTTCTCCTCTTGCCATCTCCTGGGCCTGCAGATTCCAGAGCCCAAGCTGGCGCAGGCCTGACCAATAAGCACGGCCTCCTGCCTCTAACTGTGGGGCAAAGTTTGTCTTGACCTCACAAAGCCAAACTGCTTCTTGCGAGAGAAATGTCTGTAAACTCAGGCCCTTGCCCACACCGGCCACTCCCTAGAGAAAGGTTCTGGCTTGACTTCCCTTGCAGGAGGAAGTGGCTGATGTGGGCCTCATCTCTCTACCCTGCCCGGGGCAGCGGGGGCCCCCTGAGAGGACTTATAGCTAAAGGGACAGTTGGGGGCAGCTGTTTATCCACAGGGACAACAACCGTACCCATTAGCTTCCCAGTGTGGGCAGGGACCAGAACTCAGTGAGGGCATGGAGTGAGTGGGTGGGTGTATGAAGGAAATTTCCTCTACCAGGCAGGCCTCTCTGGCCACAGTGGAGAGAGCTAACCTGCCTCCTGACTTTCACATAGTTAGCCTGATCTTTGCTTTTCAGAACGTGGTTAGGCCCATCCGGGTTCTCACGAAGTCAGCTGTCAGTGTTGACCATCCTACCAGGAGGCCAACTGAGCCCCCCGGGGCAAAACCATACTGCCTAGTTTCCTAAAATGCCCACAGGCTGGTGAGGAGAAAGTGCCTCAGAGTCCCTGCACACATGTGTCTTCTCAGAAGTGTGGAAGCCTCTAAAGGTGGGCCCAGAGCCAGGAAGGAGATCTGCAGGCAGGTCTCCAGCTGGACTCCTCCTTCCTGCCTCTCCTGCATTGAGGACCTGACTGCTGGGGTGAGCCAGGGGCTCCCAGGAGCAAGGAGAAGACCCCAGCCCCCTGTGCCCTCCCAAGGGACAGCAGTTATAATGATCATTACACGCAGAGACTATGACCCCACATAACACCACATAACACCACATGCCGAGCTGGCCACACCCCTGAAGCCACAGAATTGCCCACTTCCATCCTGCCACCCTGGAAAGGCTCTCCACGGAGGCCAGACCATCCTCCACCATGAGCCAGGGCCTGGCTCCGTGGCAGCGGGTGGCTGGCCCTTTGGGGATTCGCTTTCCCTGTTGAATACCAGTTCTTTCACTTGAAGACAAGATGATCCCCGACCTTAGCCAGGTATTGGGTCCTCCGGGAAGCACTAGCGATGCTGGGGTGTTCCACTGTTACAGGCTCCACAAGACTTCCACTGGGCAGCTAATGCCGCCAGTCACAGGACCGGGGGTGTCTCTAGAGTCCCCTCGATTCTCCAATATTTCAGATTCCCAGTTGCCTACCTAATGCATTAGTAGACTAGAGCCTGTAACACCCCCCCAGCGCTCTCTCTCTCCCTCTCTCTCTCTCTCTCCCTCTCTCTCTCTCTCTCTCTCTCTCTCTCTCTCTCTCTCTCTCTGTGTGTGTGTGTGTGTGTGTGTGTATGACAGAGAAGGAGTCTTATTATGGAGCCTAGCTGACCTGGAACTGGCTGGGTAGACCAAGCTGGCCACAAACACAGAGATCTGCCTGTCTCAGCCTCCTGATTGCTAGGATTATAGGCGTGTGCCCCTTGACCTGCCCTTTTAAGTGCTTTATAGCTGTCATCATGTCTAATCTTTGTGACATCATGGCACAGTATGTAACATCTCCCTTTTACAGCAGAGGGAAAACTGAGGCCCAGAGAAGTTAAGCAATACATTGGAGGTCACACAGCTTGTAGGCTGCAGCCCCTGCCTTGGGAACCTGTTAGAACCCCATGAGCTAGAATTAGCCCTGCTCTGCTCACGTGCCCATGTTACCCGGCCCCATCTCCCTCCCCCATGCTAGTCCAAATGCTAATGTTCACAGCTCACCCTCCCTCACCTGTGGGGTCACCTGATGCCACTTCTTCTGTCAAGAGCTGGGGGTGGCTAAGGAGGAGGCTTCCTGAGGCATGGGAACATTCTGGGAAATCCCCTATTGGAGGGGCTGAAGAGGGGGTCACTCAGCAGTGGGGAATCCCCAGGCTGGTCCCTCAGCCCCAGGCAGCTGAGCTGGAGGCAGACTGGGAGCAGCTGGCACCTCCTGGCTGGGGTCTACTGTGCTCCGGGCCAGCTCCCGGCGAGGGCTTTGACCTTCCTGCATTTTCTTTGTTAAAAAAAAAAAAAAAAAAAAAAAAAGGAAAGAAATTGTATTTTATGTGCATGTTTACCTGCATGTATGCTCATACACCACTATGTGCCTGGTGCCTGTGGAGGCCATCAGAGGGTGTCAGATCCCCTGGAACTGGAGTTACAGATGGTTGTGAACCACCGTATGGGTGCCGGATATCGAACCTGGGTCCTCTGGAAGAGCAGACCCTGCTCTTAACCATGGAGCCATTGCTCCAGCCCCATCTCCTCGCCTTTACTAATAGCCATTTCCAGAGGTTGAAATAACCTCGGTGTTCTTCCGGCTCAAAGGAGTGTGCATACTTCCTTCGACACAAGGAGATTCCAACTCACGTGCATCTGGAGTTGGTGCCACCCTGTGCCGCACACACATCCAGAGCAGGTTACGGTACGTGGAGCCCACAGTTCCTGAAGAATGTCTCTAACTGAGAGGTGGGCTGCTCCCCAGGAGAGGAAGGACTAGGCCTCCACCTGCCACCATTGCCTTTCACCTGAGGGGAAGAGCCATCACATACATACTGGGTTCTGGATCTGTCTTCAGCTCCCAGCCACCAGCAGCTGGTCAGTCACACCAGCCATGCCCTCGAGGCCCTGTCTATAGTCATGGGAGTGGAAGGCTGTTGCCTGGGTCTCATTTTTCCTCACAGTTTGAAAAACACTGGAGGTTGGCTCACTCAGTGTCCTTCCCCAACACCCCACTGCTTTCAACTTGAGAGACTCAAATGCCCAGCTTCCTTGCATCTGGTGCAAAGTGTCCTCGAGTTGTGTGTGTGTGTGTGTGTGTGTGTGTGTGTGTGTGTGTGTGTGTGTGTGTGCGCGCGTGCGACTGGTGATATGTAGATAGAAGCACAGGGACAGGGGATTCTCTTTCTTCTTACAGGGCAGAGCCACTGGGCAAGGACAAATCCACTGTCCTTCAACACAGAGTGAAAGCCTGGAGGATCAGCAGCCATGTGGCCGCCTCGAGAAGAAGCTGCTCCGATACTGGTTGCACAGACAGGAGAGCTTTGTTTTTCTGCCTCTAACCTGCTCTTTCCATTCTGAGCTTCTTGCTACGTGAGAAAAAGAAACCACCGCTAGCTGCTGCCTCCCCCTTGATGGCCTATCTACTACGTGTCGCTGTCTGGACTCCTGGGAAGCCCAATTGGGAAAACAGAGAGCAGAGGCTTACGAGGTGCTGGGACGGGGTCCCTGGGTATACATGCACATAACTGTACAGACTGAATCCACACTTCCTGCCGCATCCCGCCCCCCTCCCCCCCATGGCTTCAGTTTATCCAGTTTATTTCTGCCTGTGGCTCTTCCATCCATTTTTGGTGCCTCAGGTTGCTTTGGCCCAGAGTCTGTCCACTGGTCCCTTTTTCCCAGATCATCCCGGCTTCTGCTTTGAGTCCTACTTCATCTCCAATAGCAGAGGCTCTGGAAAGTCTCCCTGCGTGGCTGCCCTACCCCTGTCCTGAAATCCCTTCAGCATTGCGCTCTTCCATGCTTTTCAAAGCACTTTTCAAGCTGTGTGATGAACAGCACCGCGATCCACAGGCAGACTCTGCCGTCTGGACTCCACCCTGTGCCCTGTAGAGGCCCCAAGTTCATTGTTCTGCATGGGGCGCAGGCATTAAGATTTTAGAAATATTTCCCCGGCGAGCCCAGTGCTTAGCCAAACTGAGACTCATGTTCACTGTGGGTTTTTAACACCAGTATAATAGAATAACTAATCACCTTATTAAATTTATTTCATTAAATATATTTCTTTCTTTCTTTCTTTCTTTCTTTCTTTCTTTCTCTCTCTCTCTCTCTCTCTCTCTCTCTCTCTCTCTCTTTCTTTCTTTCTTTCTTTCTTTCTTTCTTTCTTTCTTATTTGTTTTTGGATTGTTTGTTTTTCAAGACAGGGTTTCTCTGTGTTGCTTTGGCTGTGGGAAAGCTCTGTAGACCAGACTGTCCTCGAACTCAGTGATCTGCCTGCCTCTGATTCCCAGAGTGTGCCCCACCACCACCCGGCTACATTAAATATATATTTTTATAAGTACATAAGACAAAGCATCTTAGAGTTGGATGAAAATTTCTAAGTTAAAAATTTTTCTAAAACACTTTGGAATTTTAACATAATATTCTGTTGGTGAAGACAACGTTCAGAACAGCTCTTAAAGTGTTAAATTTATTAATCGTTATTATTACTGTGTGTGTATGATGTGTGTGTGTGTGGGGGGACAGGCATGCATGAGCTGTGGGCAGGTCTGCAGAGGCCAGAGGTCATCTTTGTGGTGTCAGGTCTATGAATTTCAGGGATCAAACTCAGGTTGGCACACTATGCTGCAAGCTCATTCACCCAGGAGCCTCTCTCTGGCCCCAGCACACCTGGCTCTTAGGAAGGAAAGGCAGGAGGTGGGGATCTGTGTGAATCTCACTCAAAACTTGGTCACACTAGTTCCTTTTGAGATGGTGATCTTCCCTCAGGGCAGAGGGAAGATGCCATTATCTTCACGAGTTAGTCCTCAGTGATGGGACAGCACTCAGTAAATGCTCAGGAGGCTTGCTTGCCCGCTTTGGAATGTAACAGATGCCTGTGAAAGTGTCTACCGAGTAGGCGTGTGACATTCAGGCTATTTGGTGAGTGTTTTACCCAACATTCCAGCTGTAACAGCTTCTGCTTTGTGCCTCTAGGACAGTTACAAAAGAATCTCAGAGGTTCCTTTTTCAAAAGGCCCAGCCGCATAGAGAGTGGGAATAGCCAAGCTAATACTACTCTGCCACCACCTCAGCTTTGAATGTCATTTCCCTCACTTGGGCTTGACCAACCCAAGGAGGCTCCAGCAGACACAGTGGAAGGCCGTTGTGGTGAAGGGGCGAACTCAGAGTTCTCCTGAGCACGCTGACAGAAAAGCATTGTTCTCAGGGGGAGAAGACACCCAGGTTGATGTGTGTGTGTCAAGGCCGGGTTCTGCACTTGATGAGCAGACAAACCTGAGACAGATTCCTCCTTCCTTCCAGCTGGAGTTCCACTTTCCTTCCAGACAGAGAAGAGAATTTTCACATTGGCTCTCTAATTCCAACTCATACAGCCTGGGGAGGCTACTGCTTCCCACTTTGTGATAAGAATTTAGGTTCACTGGTTCAAAAGGCCCTTAGCTTGGGAGGTCTAGGCCCAGGTCGGGTAACCTGATACCGTTGTCCTGATAAAGGACATGCTGTCAAACTGCCTTCCTGGTACTGATGCTGATAGCCACAGAGGATGCTGCCCTCCACCTTGGCCAGAGAGAAGTCTGTCTGCTGTGGCCAGCAGTTAATGTAGAGGCCCATCACGGGTCAAAGGGCAGGGGACAAATGGCTTCTGAGTGCTCAGCCCTAGACGGTACATCGATAGCCACTCTAGCCCTTCATCCAAGACTCAGGGAACTCCACACAAGAGGGGCAGACAGAATGGAAGAGCTGGAGGACGAGGAGGAGCCCCGTGAAATGCTGTCCTCTAGATGGGCCATTAAACTCATGAACTCACGGCAGCTGGCTTTACCTGACAAGATCAGCGAACAGTCCCACGGCCGCATTAACTGGACTTTGTGGATTTAAAAAAAAAAAATGTTTGTTTTAAAAAGAGAGGACATGAGTCAGGGAGGGAAGGGGAATGTGTTGGGGAGATTGGGAGGAGAGAGTCGGGGGAGGATGATCAGTAGGCACTGTTTATGAAATTGTCTAAGAATTAATAAAACATATTCTATTTTAAAAAAAAAAAGTTTGAGAGCAATCCCCAGCCTGGGTTAGAATGGTCTTCATATCCTCCACCTTCCCAATCTGGACCCCCCCCCCCTCTGCATATCTGACTCTCTGTGGCTCACTGTCCTTTTCTGATGCCTCATGGCTTTCCACCCCAAGTCTCTGTCGTGGGTTCCCTCTCCCCAGATCTTCCCAGCCTCCTCTTCAGTTTGCTCTTGAGCTCCAGTGTCAGGGCCTGGGGACCCCCCCCCGCCCCCGCCCCACGTCACTGCCTTCACCCTAATTCACTTTCAACATTGTATTGCATTTTCTTCGAAGCGTTTTTTTTTTTTGTTGTTGTTGTTTGTTTGTTTTTCACAAGGTGTAATTAGTGAGATCCTGTGTTTGTTTGGTTTCTAGACCAACAGTGGAAAGCAAGACCTGCTGGTGGGTGCTGAGACTCGGGTCTCCCTTTGCTGGAGCTCCCAGCTAATCGACGAACAAGAGGCATGTTCATGTGCCAGCTGAGTCGTTCCAGGTACTGGAAGTTGCCTTTTGGGCCTAAGAATTTGGGCCCTCTGCTTGGCTTTGAGCTTATCATTTCCTTTGCGTTTGTGAGTGATCCAGGTCCGTGCCCTTGGCTTGCCCTGCTTCCTGGGATGGTCCAAGTCCATCTGCCGTTAGGGTCTGATGTTTACTGGGGTCCATTTTAACTCCCCAAAGTGCTCCAGCTTGGAAGATAAATTGCAAGGTCTCCTATGTACCTCTGCTGACCTGGTCCTCACTATGTAGACCAGGCTGGCCTTGAAATCAGAGGGATCCATCTGCCTCTGCCTCTTGTGTTCTGGGATTAAAGGCAAGCTGTGGTGGTATTCTAATTGTACTGAAATGTGATTTTGATTGTATGTTAATAAATAAAGTTACCCGGGGGTCAGAGCTATTAGAGCCATAGCAAGAGTGTGGCGGTGGTGGCACACGCCTTTAATCCCATAGATCTCTGTGTGTTCAGGGATACAGCCAGCATTGGAGACATATGCCTTCAAGACCTGGGGGGCTGTACATACAGACAGTGACGAGACAGTCACGTGTTTGGGTTTACAACCAATGAGAAGGCATAACAAAATACTATAAAAAGACGGACAGACAGGATATAGCTCTCTTTCGGGAAGCTGGGACACCACAGGAGGAAGGGTGAGATTTTAGCTCTGAGCTCTGACCTCTCGCTTTCTCTTTTACATTGGTTCTGTGTTTCTTATTTAATAAGACTGTTGGTTACATCTACAGCACGCATCACCATGCCTGGCCTTAAAGAGCTTTTAAGAAGTAAAATACCCATGATCCTAGTCCCTAACACTTTTTTTGCTGTTGTTGTTGTTTGTTTGTTTTGTCTATTTGTTTTGTTTTGTTTTGTTTTCTTTGTTTTTCAAGACAGGGTTTCTCTGTGAAGCCCTGGCTGTCCTGGAACTCGATTTGTAGACCAGGCTGGTCTTGAACTCACAGAGATTCGCAAGCTTCTGCCTCCCAAGTGCTAGGATTAAAGACATGCACCACCACTGCCTGGCATTTGTGAAAATTTCTTAATGCCATTTACTGGTACAAGTTATCGATTTCTAATGATGAAAAAAAGACCATCTTAAAAAAGTAAAAAAAAGAGGACCTTACACGTCCTTTAAGGCTAGCCTGGGTAGCTTCGTGATACCATGTCTCAAAATTTTTAATGTAGAGGGGAAAAGACCAGAGGTGTAGCTCAGTGGTAGAGTGTTTGCCCTGCATGTATAGGCCCTAGGCTCAATTCCCAGTACCAGGGGAAAAGAAAAATGTATGAGACTCAAAACGCCAATCACCCTGAGGTTGAGAAACCCTGCCTTGATGCATATTGTTTTCGTCATCAGAATAGAAAATTAGGTCATTTTCATTTGGCTAGGAAAAATGTGTGTAGGCCTTCTGTGCACAGTCTTTGCCCACTTATTGATAGGCGTCTTGATGTTTTTCTTTCAAAAGATGTTCTTTCTTGGTACACATATTAAATCTTCATGTATTTAATTTAATGCAAGTATTTTCTTCAAAAATATCATCAGCCTTTTGGGTTCCTGCCTTTACATCTTCTCAATAAAGAGGTATTTAAACTCTAGGCCTTACCCACCTTAAATCCTCTTAGTGTCTCTTGCTGTTTGTCGAATGTTCTAGAACTAAGAAGAGTCTTGCTGTGCAAGAATTCTGGCCATGGGTCTACTTCATGGCTTACCCTTTGTGAAATGACAGATGGGAACAGCAAAACCAACCAACCAAACAAACAAACCACAGCAACCCCCCACCAAACAAACAAACAAACAAAAACCCAAAGCTCAGAAAGCTTTGCACAAAGCAGATGCAGACTTGTAGGGAGACAAGAACTCGGGATCCTTGGGTGTCCCTAAGAAAAGACACTGATTTCCTCACTGGCAACATGACAAGTTGGTCTACCCGCCACCCCAAGTTTCCTTTTTAAATATTTTGATCCTGTGAACAAGATAGTATGGCCACAATTCCTGGCATTTCCTCTAGAAGCCATTATGTGAACCCATGGTGAGACCCTCCATGGAAAGACAAACTAAAGGACCTTTGTGGTGATAATACTGTGTACCACAATAAAACTTATCTGGGGATGAGAGGACAGAACCAGCAGCCACTTAAAACTTCTTACCTCTACAAATCCTCATACTCCTGTCTCCACCTCTCTAGTGCTGGGATTAAAGGCCTGCACCACCACCACCTGGCTCTGTTTCTCTTGTAGACTGGTTCAGTCTCTTGTAGCCCAGGGTGGCCTTGAACTCCTGATCTTCCTACTTCCTCCCGCCAAGTGCTGGGATTAAAAGCATGTGCTACCACTGCCTGACCTCTATGTTTAATATAGTGGCCAGCTTTGTCCTCTGATCCCTAGGCAAGCTTTATTGAGGTATGCAATATATCACCACAGACCTTTATCCCATGGACCAGTCCATTCCTGTGGGAAGCAGGGATCACACTGAGGAGCCACTGAGGATGGCCTCCTGAGGACACCTGTTAGACGGGGTAGCTGTTGGCTTATGACCTGGTACCCACAATCCAGTTTAGACAGGCATTTTTCAAGTGTGAGTACCTCCCAACCCTAACACACCAAACTATCATCCTTGGATAAGCAGTTGGGGTAGTTAAATTGCTTTGACATGTTCTTCCTCTACTCAAATAGCTGATGTGCAAAGATTGGAACTATTTCTGATTGCTTACACAGCACATATTCATCATAATAAAACTGCAGAGTACCAGGAGTGAGGCAATTACCCGAGCCCAGTCACCCACGAGTAACCACTATTAGTATTTTGGAGACTGTGCTTTTAACCCCAACCCGCAGGCTTTACATTAGCAGATGGTGCTCGGCATACTCCTCAAGACTTGCTTGTTTAACTCAATTCAGTCTCGTAGACATCTTTCTAAGTCAACAGACATAGATCTCCACAGTCATGTCGAGTGCCAGCCTCAAACTCCATTGTATAAATGGATCACAATCTGATCAATACCCCGTTCTTAACCATCTACCGAATTTTATGGCATCCATAGTGTTTGCAGTCCACAGATACCCATGCTTCAAGCATCCTCATCTATTATCTTTGCCTTACACGATTATAAGTGGAAGCACTGTCTCCAAAGTTTATTCTCATGTACAATATTAATGCAACACAACCTTCTAAAAATGGATACATGTATCACATATGTGTGTGTGTATATATATATATATATGCATGCATGTGTGCACGCACGTGCGCGCGCGCGCACACGAGAGAGAGAGAGAGAGAGAGAGAGAGAGAGAGAGAGAGAGACAGACAGAGACAGAGACAGAGAGAGAGGGAGGGAGACGAGAGAGAGAGGGAGGGAGACGAGAGAGAGAGGGAGGGAGACGAGAGACAGAGAGAGAGAGAGAGAGAGAGAGAGAGAGAGAGAGAGAT